AGGGAGCCTTAGGCAGCCCCGAGCCTCCCTTAAATCCGAAAGCCCTAAAGCCTTAAAGCCCTGAAGCCCTAAAGCCCTAAACCCCAAACCCTAAACCCTAAAGCCTAAAGCCTAAAGCCTAAAGCCTAAGCCCTAAGCCCTGCATCTCCTGGATACAGCAGCGCTCCCAAACATCGCCATCATTGTGGTGGATGAAGGTCATGTCCTGCAGGGAGGGATCCAGACCCTACCTTAAGAACCCAAAACCCCTTTTTTTGTAGGGACTTATGGGGACCCTACAAAAAGTAGGCTTTGGCGTTCTTAAGGTAAACCCTAAACCAAACACCCTAAAAACCCTAAACAACCCTGAACCAAAGACCCTAATATACTATGAATCCCTATATGGTATATGAACCCTACACCCTTTTAGGGCTCTTTTCGTCCTTAAGGTTGTGCCCAGAGCTGTGAAGTATTTGCGATAGTTTCCAAGTGATGGGAGTTGCAGGACTTATATCTTGCCATTAGGAAAGCCCATGGCCGTCCCGGGAATTTCCGAAGCATGGGCGTCGAGTTCGTTAGTAGCAGAGGGAGACGATCGCTGTCCTGCCGTCCTAGCTCCGACATGGCTAAAACCCCTAAACCCCTAAACCCCCGAACTCTAACCCTAGACCCTGAACCCTAAACCCTAAACCCCCGAGCTCCAAATCCCAGACCCCAACACCTCAACCTCTAATCTAAGCCCCGAAGCTCCCACTAGGTCCGCAATGCCATGAGCCGACAAACTTAAGTCTCGAGGTTTAGGGAAAAGGGTTTTTAGGGTGTTTGGTTCAGGGTTTTGGGTTTTTAGGGTCTTTGGTTCAGGGTTTATATAGTCCTCAAGGAAGGCCTAGATGAAAAGCCTATCTCTTTATCTGTGGAAGCATTCGACTTCTTAGGCTCGGAGCAGACACAAAAGCTTGAGCCTACATATAACAAGGTCTCCAGGGTGAGTGCAATGGGCTTGGGCATACGCCTTGAGCCCAAAAAAGCAGAGGGTTTAGGGTTGGGGGGGGGGGGCATGTTTCGCGGATTTAAGTTCGACCTCGGGAGGTTTAGGGTTTAGGGTTCGGGTTCGATCAACTTTGCCAAAATCTCAATGCGTCAGAATAATGTAGGTACTCGAACAAGTAAAAAATGACATCCTTATACAAGCCTTCGTAAAACTTATGCTACTCTCCTATATTGGCATTACCTATATTTAGGGGCTTAGAGGAAAAAAGTGCTAGGGTGCCTGCAAGGGAATGCTAGTAAGACAGTACAGGAACAAGTAACCCTAAACCCTAAACCCTAAACCCTTAACCGATAGATTGAAGTCATAACAGTTGGAACAGGATCGAGGCTGATGGAGGATCAGGGGCATCTACTTTATTGAAGGGTTTAGGGTTTAGGGTTTAGGGTTTTACCTGGGCGGATTACTTGTGCCAACTCTTCGACACAATATCTCCGCCCACTACACTAAACGTGGGCCTAAACCCTGAACGTCCTGTAACGGGCAAAACCAGAACCAGCTCTTCAGTGACTTGTGCTCCAAGGCTTTGTGGATGCGACGACACTCTTCCTCAGAAGGATTAGGGCTCAGGGGGTTCAGGGTTGTAGGGTTTAGGGTTAGGGTTTGGGGTTTTAGGGTTTAGGGTTTAGGGCTTAGGTGAACACTGGACCCTGAAACTCTGACCCTTGAAAGCCCGCTTAGCCCTTGTAAAACCCTGATAAACCCGTGTAACACCCTTAACCATCCTATAGAACCTTTCTGCGACTCCACCGGCTTCCAGCCCGAAACGCAGAATTGTTCTAGAAGGGTAGGGTTTAGGGTCTAGGGTTTGGGGTTTAGGCTTTAGGGTTTAGGGTTGAGGGTTTTGGGTTTAGGGTTTAGGGTTGCTAGACGGGATCCTATAAAGGGTTTTGATCCGTGATCCTGTAAGGGATTGAAACAAGGTCTCTGTAACGCGAAACCCCAAAGAAAACCCTTGGTGGCGGCTTCAAGCTGCGGTGCCTTACGTTCAAGGAAGGTGGGTAGTTTTCTAACTTAGGGCCCCTTTTAGGGTCCTTTTTATAAGGGTGCCGTATTATATTGGGGACCTAAAAAGGGACCCTAATTTAAAGAACTACCCAGGTCTCTTTTCAGAGTTTCGTTAAGGGTTCCTTTTGCCGTTAACCCTTCAAACGCGGAACCCATTGTAAGGGACTCACCTTACCCTAAAACCCGGAAGCACCACAAGCGCAGAGTCCTCACCAGTCAACCGCTCTCCAAAAAAAAACTGCTCTCGAAACCTACACCCCAAACCCCAATACCTTGAACCCCAAAGCCCTGAACCCCTATACCCTACACTGGCCCCTAAACCCCTAAACCCCGAACCCTATACCCTATGTAGTAACCCGTATAGACTGGGTTGTAGTTTTGGGGCCCTGAAAAGTATTTATGAATAGGTACGTCTATAGAAACCATAAGGGAACTTTTAAAGTTTCCCAAAGTGCCACCTAGTAGACCCCTTAAAGGATCTCTTATAGAACCCTGGGATGTCGTGCTTGCCAAGCGTCTTGATGTGGGCGGCAACGCTTTATCGCACCTGGCAGACGACGGTTTAGTGTTTAGGGGTTTAGAGCTCTAGGGTTTAGGGGTTTAGGGCTCTAGGGCTTAGGGGTTTGTGGGTTTAGGGGTTTAGTCTTTAGGGTTTAGGGCTCTAGGGTTTAGGGGTTTAGGGTTTTGGGGTTTAGGGTCTACGAGCTTCTCGGAAGCTGCAGCTCCTCCTTCCTACGGTTGATGATATAAATCCTGCATTACCCACAATAAAGGAGTATACCATAATTCCCATAGTTTAGCGTCCTTAAGGTAATGCAGGATTTTTAGTGTTTTGTTACTATTACTGCGTTTGTTTGTATTTTCTTCTGACCAATACGACGATTCATTGCGACTGTGACTCCTACTTGTTCGTTTATAATATCATTGCTTCTCTTATGCGGACAACCCGTTTGAGGGATCCTGACAAAGACCTGTCAAGCTGCTTTCTGCGCGAAGACACGGCAGTTTGCTAGAACTCAGACGATTCCCTAACCCTAAACCCTAAACCCCTAAACCCCAAAACCCTAAACCCTAAACCCTAAGCCCTAAACCCTAAACCCCTAAACCCTAAACGACATGCTGGACTAGACTTACCTTGGCCGCTCCAGGCCTGCCATCTCATGGGCCCCTAGCATGGGCCCTTAAGGGTGGGATCTTTATATACCTACTGTATACCCTATATGTACCCTTAAGGTTCCCTAGAAAGACCGACGGGTCCATTTTAGGGGCCCATACTTCTAACCTTAGATGCAAACCCTGAACCCCCTAAACTCTGTGCATATAAGGTCAGCATTCATAGTATAGAATTGATAACATAGGGGCCTTAATAACTGGAATAAGGGTTTTGGAGCCCATTAGACTATATTTATAATAAGGATCCCCCCAAAATAATGTTGGTAATTAGTTAGGCCCCTATCTTACGTGCATTTAAAGGGGTAGGGGTCAGAAGGGTCAAGGCTTCCGCAGACCACCACGGACAACCGGTAACCACAGCCCTGTAATCCCTGAACCCTTCTCTCCTATTCCCGAAATCCTAACCCCTCCATCCCCAATCTTAACCCAACGCTAAACCCTAAACCCTAAACCCTAAAACCCTAAACCCCACGAAACCCGCAACAACAAAAAAAAACGTATGCCTCCGCGCCTCCATCTGCAAGGCTGGGAAGTGGGTTTGTTGGGCATTTGGCCGGAGGCGCCCAGCTGGGAACACCCTTGTCGTAGACCTCAAGCGACTATGATTTCGGAGCTCGGGTTGCGAGCTCAATATTTTCGGGCTTGCTGGTGAAATACATAGGATTTGAGGCTTTGGAGCTTGAGGCTCAGGACTGACAAAAACGGTTCTGAAGCCTGCGAACCCTACAACCCAACCCTCACACACACCTAAACCCTAAACCCTAAACCCTAAACCCTAAACCCTAAACCCTAAACCCTCAACTCTCAACCCGAATCTCCCAACACGACCATCCTGGCTGGGGCTCTTCTGGAGGACTCGAACTAAGCCATGCCACGGCCTAATTTCCAAACGCATAGACCAACATCTATGTGTATGTGTATATATATATATATGTCATACACATACACACATATCTGTATGTGTATGTATTTGTATGTGTATATATATATATATAATGTACCTGGCAACTTAGCCTAGCTGCCTAGGTTGCTTCAAGCCCTGTAGAAGCTTTGCATGCTATTACGAAAACGCATTTAAAAAAAAAACTCCGTCAAACCCTATACCACTAACCCTATGATTCTTTGCTAGACCACTTGTCGAACTCGACTTTTCCAGCTCAACACCTGACAAGGACTCAGGCTTGTATACGGTGCTTCCGAACTTCAGGCTGTTTTGGAATGACTCCGCAGGCTTCTTGACTTAAAGGAAACTACAGGTGGGGAGTTTAGGGTATATAGGGCTTCTAGAAGGCTTCTATAAGGTACATAGACCTTCTATACCTATAACGGTAACTACCCACCTGAAAATGTCCTAGACGCAGGCTTGAGGGTGTGTGTTTAAGGCGTTGTCGTAGGGAAGGCCTGAGCCTGGCAGGAAGGCAATGTAGGGGCCTTGATAATTAGCATAGGGTTCTGCTGTATAGTCTCAGATATAATAAGGAACCCCCCAAAAATAATAGAGGTGATTCTTTACGCCCCCTGTATTACTTTTGAAGCCTGAAATGCAAATGGGTTTTGTGGGCTTTGTACTGTCAAAGTCTCCAGGAACCATGCGGAATCATGTTACTAACTATGCACATGGAAGAATGCCGTGGTATTAGGGCCGGGGTTTGTTTATAAGGACTTTAGGACGGACCCCTAATAGGGACCCTTAATCCCAGTACCTTAAATAACCATCGTATAGTCCTTATATGCCCCTTAAAGAGCCAGTTAGCCTCCATATTAGCCCCAATAACCTACAGGAATCCCTATTAAGGGTCCCTCCTAAAGCCCTTAGAGGGTTCATGGCACATTAGATGTAATGTAGGGGCCCCCTAAACCCTAAACCCATAGGTAGTTACTTGGAGGGTCGGGTGACTCTTAGTAATTAGTTATATTGAAGACTTATAAGTATCATAATCCCGATTAGGATCCCTTTTAGGGTACTTATAACTCTACTTAATACCTACTTACTAAGTCCCCCGACCCTCCAAGCATTAAGGCCCCTATATTATGCAGCCGGGGCTTGCCATGGGCCGTTTGGGCACGGCAGAGCTCGACACAAGGCCCAACTTCCCGAAGCCCTTAATGTAGGGGCCTTAATAATTAGAATAGGGTTCCGGGGCTCCTTAATACTATATTTATAACAAGGAGCCCCCAAAATAGTATAGCTAATTATTTAGGCCCCTGTATTATGGCCCTGGTCCCAAGCATCTAAGACTCTACAGCCGCTCGAAAGATACATGCAAGCTGTATGCCACAGTCTTGCAGAATCCAGAACGCCCTTTTGCAGAACCCTCTGACCCGGCACAGCCACGAAACACAAACACACCTGTCCAAGCGCAACGAGTGGAAGTAAGCCTCAATCTGCCCAGACCCTGAACTCGAAATCCCTTGAACCCTGCTACAGAGACTGGGCTTTGAAGTACCCAAGGAGACCAACAACTTTCATGTCATAATGGTTCCCTTAAGAAACAGGTACAAAAAAACAACCTCAACCCTAAACCCTAAACCCTAAACCCGAAACCCTAAACCCTAAACCCTAAACCCTAAACCCCTAAACCCCTAATTAAACCCTAAACCCTAAACCCCCAAACAGAATTCATGAAGAGCTCAGGCCCCGGCAGGAATACCCCTTGAGCCAGGGCTGCAATCAATAAAGAAGCTGCTCGCGATCGTAGGCATGGCGTTTAGGGGTTTAGGCGTTTAGGAGTTGCCGCATTTAGGGGTTTTGGGATTTGGGGGTTTGGGGTTCAGGGATTTAGGGGTTTAGGGATTTAGGGGTCAGGGGTTAGGGGTCTAGGGGTTTAGGGGTTTTGAGTTTAAGGTTTAGGGTTTAAGGGGTTTGGGCTTTGGGCTTAGGGTAGACTTCGGGGTTTAGGGTTTAGGCCGGGGTTTAGGTTTCGGGGATGTTCGTAGGCATGGCCAAAGACTTCCCAGACCCTTCACAGCGTTTTGAACTGCCTTCAACCTGCCTTCAACCGAAACCTAAACCCTAAACCCTAAACATCTGAACCATCTGATATCGATAACTGTGGGATTTGAAGTTTTGTTCTCCAAGCCTTCCATCGAGACGGCTGCAAAAGACACGTAGGGTTTCGGGCTTAGGGCTTAGGACTTAGGGTTGGGAGTCTGCATCTTTTGGAGCTTCCCTTCTTTGGGGTTGAGGGTTAGGGGTTTAGGGTTAGGGTTTGGGGTTTAGGGTTTAGGGTTTAGGGTCTAGGGTTTAGGATTGAGGGTTTAGGGTTTAGGATTTAGAGTTTAGGGTTTAGAACCAAAACCCTCATAATACACTGCCTGTATAAGGTAAGGAAACACTCCCTTGTGCCCACCTCCCTTCCGTTGCAACCGGCAAGCAGGCAAACGGCAGCGACCATGGCCGTTGCCAGCACCTTGCCCAAAGAACCCTATGCTTTAGGGCTTTAAGGTGTGCGGTTTGGGAGTTAGGTTAAGGGTTTAGGATTCAGGATGTGTAAGCCGTCATGATCTGATGATCTATGCTTCCACCATGCAAGGGTTGAGGGGTTTCTGAACCTAAACCTGGAACTGCTGAGAATGTGAGCCCTACTAAACCCTGAACCACTGAAGCCCTGAAACCCGGGACAACGGAACCCTGCGCAAGAAGTCCTACTCAGCCGCATACAAAAAAGCAAACGGCTTGTTGTGTTCAAGCTTGGTAGCATCCGAACAACCTCTGCGTTGAATCCGATTTCAAGCCGACCTAAACAAATGTCTAGCAAGACCCGAGCAGCTCAACGTAGGCTGCCATGCTGTTATGACCGCCCTGGAAAGCCTCCAGGCGGAACCCCGAAACCGGATTGCAACTTGGGTGCGCAGCATGCTATGCACAAGCTCTGTCTTCGTGCACAATTCCCAGAGAGCCCAATATCCCTAAATCAAGGAATATACAGTGATGTTCTGAAATTATAAGGAGCTTCATCTTATGCTTTAAGCTACTATCCTCAGGGACGGGGTATTGGGCTCTCTCGGCAGAACCCTGTGCGTTTAGGCGCTGGCCCTAGACTCCGCAAATGTAGTCGTCGGAGGGAGTAGTTATATTGTCCCGTTATAGTTAGGTTAGGGTTTATAAAGGGGTTTTGGGTTTAGGGGTTTAGGGGTTTAGAGTTTAGGGGTTTAGGGTTTAGGGGTTTAGGGGTTTAGGGGTTTAGGGGTTTAGGGTTTAGGGGTTTAGGGTTTAGGGGTTTAGGGTTAAGTGGTT